AAACTGACTTCCTTACACTGCAATATTAATGGCTGGTGGCACAATGAGTTAAACCCTTGTGCCAGCAGAACTGCTGACCAAAAGGTCAATGGTTCAAATCTGGGGAGCAGGGTGAGCTCCTGTCTGCCAGCTCCAGCTTCTCATCTGGGGTCATGAGAGATGCCTCCCACAGGATGGTAAAACATCCGGGCATCCCCTGGGCAACGTCCTTGCAGATAGCCAATTCTCTCACACCAGAAGCGACTTGCAGTTTCTCAAGTCGCTCCTGACATGAAAAAAATAATGGCTGAGCAAAAAGAAGAAAGAAGAGGCAGCGTGATATTGAACAATGACTGTTAATGTTATACTACAACTGGCATGAACCCAGATGTTACATCAGAAGCTTCAACCTAGTCACCTATGTTAAAACCCACAACATTCCTGACTCACTACGTGTTAATTAGAGTACATGCAAGACTTCAGGCCAGATATAACATTCAAATGCACAGAGGAGCGCTCATGGACACAACAACACAGAAGGCAAAATGCTTGTGGCACAGTAAAGGAGATGACACGTGCCCAGAATATGGACATCTGCTCCAACTACTCCTCTTGGTACAGAAAATACACATTCTACAATTTCAACATTCATTTTTCTCAGCCCACTGAGAAAAGGTTTGTTTGGGTTTTTTTTGTATGTGTGTCAGCAGCGATTTGAGAAGCTTCTGGTGTGAGAGAAATGGCCATCTGCAAGGACGTTGCCCAGGGGATGTCCAAATGTTTGATGTTTGACCATCCATGTGTGAGGCTTCTCTCATGTCCCTGCATGAGAAGCTGGAGCTGACAGATGGGAGCTCACCCACTCCCCAGATTCAAACTGCCGACTTTTTGGTCAGCAGTCCTGCTGGCACAAGGGTTTAACCCATTGCGCCACCAGTCATAAATATTGCATTGTAAGGAAGACAGTTTGTTAACGTGTTTCACCCTTTGTAAGATGGATGGAAGTTAGTTCAACATTCCCTTCATCAACCTGCTACCTTTTAAATCATGCAGGGGGTGGGTGTTGTGAGCGAATGAGCAGTGCACCTTGCCCTTAGCTATTTGCAGGAGGTCTGTTCAATATTACCCTAAATGCCAGCAAACCAGAGGGCCATGAATATAATCTGTTACTTCTGACATCACAGTAGTCCTTTGGTGGCAGAGAAAACCTCAGTAAGGAATTGTAAGTTTTTTTTAAAGATACATATTATTTAGAGAGAAGTTTCTTAACCCTCCCGTATAAATGCAGGGACATGCGCATCCATGTAGTACAATAACCAGTGACGAACTATAGAGAAAGGTTCCTGGACTCTGGCCAATCATAACGAAGTTTCTGTTTCCAAGTGAGAGTAAAATACCCAGCTTTGATGCTCAGGAAGATCTCAATTCTGGGCATGAGCAGTCACCCTCCCTCACCTGCACTATGGACCCAGGGAAATTTCCAATGCTCAGGTACAGAGGTGAGTCAAGGACAATAGTGAACAGGAAGACATTTTGGACAAACCTGGCTTAATCTTTACTTCACCACCACACCCACACACTTTATTGAGTTACAGGTGCCGTGGGCAAGTTTACAATATATAATTTAAGTAAGTTTTCCCCCATGGGCGGAAATAACACCCTAACCTGGAAATACCCAGGTAAATGTAGAGTGAACCACTTCCACTCTGTCTTCATTACAAAGAAGGTGTGGTGTAATCTTTACGTAGGAAATTGGTCATCAGAATAAATCCCAGGTAGTTCTTAATGGTGATGCAACTAGTACTCATATTGTCACCTGGCTCTTGATTAATTTGCTTTCTTGCAGATCCTGCCACCAAACAGAACTAAACTGGAAGCAGTTCACGGCAATTGTTTCCATCACCTTCTGTAAAGAGCTATCATTTACACAGCAAGAACAGTAAGAACTGTATTGTTAAAGGCTTTCATGGCTGGAATCACTGGTTTGCTGTGAGTTTTCCAGGCTGTATGGCCATGTTCCAGAAGCATCTTTCAAATGTATTAATAGGAAAGACTGAAAAATTACTGTATGTATTTCCACTAGTGACTGACTAGATTGTGACTGTCCAAAGATATTATATTATATACACACACACACACACACACACACACACACACACACACACACACACACATATATACATATATATATTCCACATATATATAAGCCTCACTTACCTAGTTTCCAAGTTGCCTAATTACCTAGATTCCCCCAGGAAGGAAGCAGCCAAGCTGCAAGGCCATTCAATGCTAATCAAGGTGGCCAATTGCAACATTCACACCTGCCTCCAGCAGAGAAGAGCTCTTTCTCTCACCCTGGACATTCGACAGATATATAAACCCCACTTGCCTAGTTTCCAACAGATCTCACAACCTCTGAGGATGCCTATCATAGATGTGGGTGAAATTTCAGGAGAGAATGCTTCTGGGACATGGCCATACAGCCCGGAAAACTCAAAACAACAGAGTAAGAGCTGTCTGACCACAGAACATTCTGCCTCTCAGGTGATGGAGTCGCCTTCTCTATATTTTTGCGAAGATGCTGAATAGCCATCTGTCAGGGCTGCTTTTACTGTGTTTTCCTGCATGGCAGGGGTTGGACCGGATGGCCCTTGGGGTCTCTTCCAACTCTATGATTCTGTGTATATGCTGGATCACCAGGCCAACAAAGATGAAGACCTTGGACTACACCAACTCTACAAAAGAAATAGCAGTAATTCTACAGACTGCTAAAAATATTTTTGAAATGGGTACCAGAGCAAATCAAGCCTGAGCTCTCCACAGAAACCAAGATAGCTAAACTAAAACTGTCATACTTTGGACACATTGTGAGAAGACAAGACTTGTTAGGGTAGATGGTAGCAGGCAAGGAGGAAGCCTGTATTACAGGTGGATGGAGTCTATCAAGGACATCACAGCCTTAATTCTTCCCATTTACAAGTTAAAAGTCGGCTTGACAGCAACTAACAACAACATAACAGAGCACCTGATGAACCAACCTGGATGCAGCAGATTATTTGAGAACACAGAAATGCTGAGCCACTCTAACAACCACCATATCAGGCTACACAGAGAAGCCATTGAAATCCACAAGAAGCATGTGGACAATTTCAACAGAAAGGAAGAGACCATGAAAATGAACAAAACCTGGCTACCAGTATTTAAAAACTCTAAAATCAGGACAGTAAATAAAGAGCAACACTCAAAAAAGCAGGGGAATTCCAGACAAGAAATGATGATGGCCAGCTAACACCTCCCAACAAAGGATTCCCCCAGGCAACAACCAGACAGGCTTTGAAGGTGCAAGGCCATTAAATGCTAATCAAGGTTCTCAAATGCAACATTCACACCTGCCTCCAACAGACAAGAGTTCTTTCTCCCACTCTGGACATTATTCCACAAGCTGGAATGTATCCAGAGGAAGGTGACTAAAATGATCAAGGGTCTGGAGAACAAGCCCTATGAAGAGCGGCTTAAAGAGCTGGGCATGTTTAGCCTGAAGAAGAGAAGGCTGAGAGGAGATGCGATAACCATGTATAAATATGTGAGAGGAAGTCACAGGGAGGAGGGAGCAAGCTTGTTTTCTTCTGCCGTGGAGACTAGGGCACAGAACAATGGCTTCAAACTACAAGAAAAGAGTTTCCATCTGAACATTAGGAAGAACTTCCTGTCTGTGAGAGCCGTTCAGCAGTGGAACTCTCTGCCTCGGAGTGTGGTGGAGGCTCCTTCTTTGGAAGCTTTTAAATAGAGGCTGGGTGGCCATCTGTCAGGGGTGCTTTGAATGCAATATTCCTGCTTCTTGGCAGGGGGTTGGACTGGATGGCCCATGAGGTCTCTTCCAACTCTATGATTCTATGATTCTATATAAATCCCAATTGCCTAGTTTCCAATAGACCTCACAACCTTGGAGGACACCTGTCATAGATGCAGGCGAAACATCAGGAGAGAATGCTTCTGGACATGGCCATGTTGTTGTTCATTCGTTCAGTCGTCTTCGTGACCTCATGGACCAGCCCACGCCAGAGCTCCCTGTTGGCTGTCACCACCCCCAGCTCCTTCAAGGTCAGTCCAGTCACTTCAAGGATACCACCCATCCATCTTGCCCTTGGTCGGCCCCTCTTCCTTTTACCTTCCACTTTCCCCAGCATCATTGTCTTCTCTAGGCTGAAGACATGGCCATACAGTCTGGAAAACTCACAGCAACCCAGTGATTCTGGCCACGAAAGCCTTCAACAATGCAATAACAACATACTCTGGAGGGCTACTTAAACAGAGCCTTCTTGCATTTTAGGAAGAGCAAACAACCAACTGCACCCAGCATCCCCTCTCCCACACTCAAAAGTCCAAAAAATGCAAGACATTTAGTGAACCTAAATAAACACATTCCAGTGGTTTCAGCTCCTGGCCTGAAATTGTTGTCCCTGATGGAAGGCAGAGTTTGAGGAGGAGGAAAGGGCCTACCTATCCCTTTCTATTACCCCCAATCCCTTGAGAACAGACATGAAAGCCTCTCCTGCAACTCCATCAAGGCTCCCTCAACACTGATCAGTGCTGATTAGTATACTTGACTGTGGGAAAAAGCCACCATCTCAACCCAAACCTCCCAAGACCACAAGACCCCAGTGGACTCTCCCAATGGAGAATGACACAGGCATCCTGACATCATCCTATTGATGATTGATCACGTGGCACTTGCCATGTATCACTGTATCAACTGTCCCAGTTTATATATATATATATACTTAAGTCTTTTTCGGTTTGCTCTCCTCTCGCCTTGGAGGCAAGGCTTACTTTATGGGACAGGAGATGGCATTTTGGGAATCCGCTTGCTATGATATTTTGGGAAAGGCTCCCTCGCTGCCCACCGAGGGGAGTCAGGGGAGGGCTGCCCCCAAAGGCAGCTCTCTGGAGCAGGATCGGAGCTCCTCGGCTAACCAGTGGTAACGGAGGACGCCGCCGAGCCGCCTGCCAGCCCCACCTACCTCTCCGGACCTCCAGGCGGCCTCTCCCCGCCGTACCTGCCGTACCTGCCGGGGCTCCGCGCACCTGTTGCTTTCGCTTCGGCTGCTGTCGCACCTTGGAGCGCCGAGCGGACAAGCCACGCCCACCGCTGGAATCCGATCCGCCTCGGCCACGCCCCCTTCCCGCTGGCCTGCCCCTTGCATTGCGCATGCGCCCCCGCCTCTGCCTGTGGCACGGCCTGTTGCCGGGAGCGCGCCTCTCGCGCAGGGGTTCCCAACCGTTGGTCTCGCAGGTGTTTCGGACTCCATCTCCCAGAATTCCAGGCCGTTGACCAACCTGGCTGGGGCTTCTGGGAGTTGGAGTACAAAAGCCTTTCAGCACCAACGGTTGGAACTACTGCTTCTTGCCAAAGGACCTGGACTGTGGGGAGCCTAACGACTGAGCCTAATGCTCAGGCATTAGAGCAGCATTCTCTATTTCTTTGCAAAGTTAGAGAATATATATATATATAAATGGAAATATGCATGCCATATGCCAGCAATATGGAAAACACAAGAATGGCCATCAGACTGGAAAAAATCAACTTATATCCCCATACCAAAAAAGGGAAATGCGAAAGACTGCTCAAACTTCCGTACAGTGGCCCTTATTTCTCATGCCAGTAAGGTAATGCTCAAGATCCTGCAAGGAAGACTCCAGCAATACATGGAGCGAGAGTTGCCAGATGTTCAAGCTGGGTTTAGAAAAGGCAGAGGAACGAGAGACCAGATTGCCAATATCCGCTGGATAATGGAGACAGGCAGGGAGTTTCAGAAAAACATCTATTTCTGCTTCATTGACTATTCCAAGGCCTTTGACTGTGTGGATCATAATAAATTGTGGCATGTTCTTGGTGGTATGGGCATACCAAATCACCTTATCTCTCTCCTGAGGAATCTGAGGAACCAAGTAGAAGTGACCACGGAACAACAGACTGGTTCAGGATTGGGAAAGTTGTACGTCAGGGTTGTATACTCTCCCCCAACCTATTCAACTTGTATGCAGAACACAGCATGTGACGTATGGGGCTTGATGAATGCAAGGCTGGGGTGAAAATTGCTGGAAGAAACATTAACAACCTTAGATATGCAGATGACACCACTTTGATGGCCGAAAGCGAGGAGGAGCTGAGGAGCCTTCTAATCAAGGTGAAAGAAGAAAGCGCAAAAGTTGGGTTGTAGCGAAACATAAAAAAACCAAGATTATGACAACAAGAATGATTGACAACTGGGAAACAGAGGGAGAAAATGTGGAGGCAGTGACAGACTTTGTATTTCTAGGTGCAAAGATTACTGCAGATGCAGACTGCAGCCAGGAAATCAAGAGATGCTTACTTCTTGGGAGGAGAGCAATGAGCAATCTTGATAAAATAGTGAAGAGTAGAGACATCACACTGGCAATGAAGATCTGCATAGTAATAGCAATGGTATTCCCTGTAGTCACCTACGAATGTGAGAGCTGGACCATAGGGAAGGCTGAGCAAAGGAAGATAGATGCTTTTGAACTGTGGTGTTGGAGGAAAGTGCTGATAGTGCCTTGGACAGCGAGAAGATCCAACCAGTCCATACTTCAAGAAATAATGCCTGACTGCTAATTGGAGGAAAGGATAGTAGAGGCCAAGATGAAGTACTTTGGCCACATCATGAGAAGAAAGGAAAGCTTAGAGAAGACAATGATGCTGGGGAAAGTGGAAGGAAAAAGGAAGAGAGGCTGACCAAGGGCAAGATGGATGGATGGGATCCTTGAAGTGACTGGATTGACCTTGAAGGAGCTGGGGGTGGTGGTGACCGACAGGGAGCTCTGGCGTGGACTGGTTTTCAGAGAGTTAATAGAAGCAAATGTGATCTCTGGCACCCTGAGGGCCCTTCCAGACAGGCCCTATATCCCAGGATCTGATCCCAGGTTTTCTGCTTTAAACTGAATTATATGAGTCTGCACTACCAGATAATCTGGGATAAGCAGAAAACCTGAGATCAGATCCTGGGATATAGGGCCTGTCTGGAAGGACATGACTGATAGCTTAAGAATCAGTGCCATTAAGCATCTGTGCCATGGAACTGGCCCAGTAGGAAAGTGATCCCAGGTTTAACAGAGACCTAGTTCAAGATCTGGGTATCGTTGAACTGATTCGAACTGTGATTTATATGTTGGTGGGAAACTGTCAAAGAATCCCAGCAGTCACATTGAGTTTCAAATGATGACATGGCTAAAAAAAAAATAAAAAAAAAATAAAAAAGACTAAACGACAACTGAAAGAGAAACTCAGTGGAACAAGGTGTTTCCAGTATCCTTGCAAGATATTTAAAAAAAACCCAGAAGATCCATTAGAAGATATATGGCAGGTCACCAAGTTCAAAAGATCACTATTACAATTCAACGGTGCACAAGCAAATTCAATAGCTGAGCATGCAAAACTTGGCGGCAAAAGTGCGCTTGGTGGGGACGAGGGACAGGGCATTCTTGGTGGCCCCCCGCCTATGGAACTCGCTCCCCAGTGAAATTAGGTCAACGGCTTCCCTCCTTTCCTTCAGAAAAAAGTTGAAGACGTGGCTATGTGACCAGGCATTCAGATAGCAGGTTGACAATAAAAATGATGACAATGCTATAGAAAACAGATTATGGACAAGCTATGGATTAAGTTGTTGATTGTAGAACTCGGACTTGACATGCCAACTAATTCAATTTTGTACTATTTTATATGTTTTTAATTTAATATTAATGTTTTACTGATTATGTAACTGTTGTTTTATCTGTTGTATATGTGGGGCATCAAATTGTTGCCATTTATAAGCCACCCTGAGTCCCCCTTTGGGTACAAATATTTTAAATAAATAAATAAATAAAAGTGAATGGTTTCATGTCAATGTCAATGGGTCAATTAATCTGCTCTCCATTTTCAACTAGGCTTTAAAAGGTATTAAAACTGCTGAGCTCCATCACCCCCAAAATGTTCAGGACTTTTCAAGTTAAGCCCAAAATCTGGACCATTGATATGGAAACCACCACTGGGGATCTACACATGGTCTGTGAATCTCATGATGTCCGCTGTTGTTATGACAGAATCAGTTACAGTTTTTCAATCAGATTTGGTGGATAATTTCTGTAATTCCAGCCCAATAACATGGACAACAAGCTTATGGAATATCACAACCATTCTTCCAAGCCTGGGTAATAAAAGCTAGGCAGGGAGCAGCGTAAAACTAGGTGTGTCTTGAGTGTGATAAATATACCCTTTAAATGGGGTGATAATTAAATGAAAAGTTGTCTTCAAGTCATCTCCATTTTATGATGACCCTGAGGAGAACGTATAAGGGTTTTCCTGCAAAGATTTGTTCAGAGGTTGAAGGAGTCACCTGGTGAGTTTCCATGGCTAAGTAGGAATTCGAACCCTGATCTCCAGAGTCATAAGCCTACACTCAAACCAAGACACCACTCTGGCTCTTGAAAAGTTAATTGCTAAGTGTCAAGCTCACAGAAGGGAAACTAGAACAGACAAGTTTGCCAAGATAGGGCAGCCATTCATTGCTTTTGTAAAAAACAGATCTGATATTCCATGACAACCCAGGTTTATCCATAAACATTGGAATGATTTGTTGCTGCATATTTGATCCCTTACTTTTTAGGAAATGGAGATTTGGGATTATTCACTGGAAAAGAAGAAACAAATATATTTTTATGTTGCTGGAAACCTGATTCTATCTTTAAAAGATTTTCTTTTTGATATAAACTGTTTTGTCCCATAGTGAAACAGTCAGATTTATTTTTGTTCTTTGTGCTTTTTGTCTTTGTATTCCAAGACAACTGGTAAAAAATAGTAAAAATAAAGCATGCCTAATGCTAGTACTGATTCAGATTTAAGGTTGATTTGAGTGTGTTACGTGAGAGGACATGCAGTCTCCCTTATCAACCTGGTCCATCTCTGAGGTCATTCAAAGGGGCCCCGTTGGTTCTTCTCGGTGGTGGGATGAGGTCTGTTTGGCAAAGACTCAGAACAGTTTCGAGTCTAATACTTCCCTCTCGCTGGGATTCCAAGCAGCTGATGTCAGGTATGCAGCAATGTTGCCTTGCTCCTGGCATCTACTTAAAATCTTTAGATACAAACAAGGCACAGTTGTATCCTTTTGCTATTTTAAATATTTTCTTCTTGATAGTTGTATGTTTTAATTGTTCATATGCCTCTGAAAGCTTTTTTCTCAAACCAACAATAGTGTCTAGATACAAAGTCAGTAAATAAATTAATAAATATCTGGTTGAGACCTGCAGATACAGAATGCTAGACTTGATAGGGCTTTGGTCTATCCTTATGCTCCTATCCCAAAAAGGTGAGCAACAAACTCTGCTTCTATAGTGAGAAAATATTTCCTAAACACTGCCTTTAATCTTGTCACAAGGCTGTTTTGCAGACTCTGAGCCTTCCAAATTCTTTGAACTGCCCTTTCGCTTGCCAAAACACTCTTTCTGTGTGTGTGTGAACTGCTTCTCTCAGAAACCTTTGGGACCAACTATTAACATTTTAAACAGGGTGCATGGGATCCTGATTGACTGCAAGTTTTTTAATGTTTCAAATCCAGAACTGGACTTTGAACCCTTCCAGTTTTGTTTTGTTTTGTTTCATTTTTTGGCTGTCTGTATGATTTCAACAGGATCCTGAGGGCCAAAAACTAGCCTTTGCATCCACTGCAGTCCTCAATTTGCTGAGTTGATTAAGTTATGTATATTCAAGAACTGCACCTGAGGGGATAACTAGAACCGTAAAATTATTTAATATAGTAAGAATCTTGTTAAAATCATAATTTAGTTGCTGGGAAAAGGCAGCTCTCCAACTGCATGGGAAGCGAATGCTACAAAGAGTCTGAGGTGTTGGCCATTTTCATTCCGTATTCTATGATAAATACAGTGCAATGATCCATCCCAAGTTAGATGCTTCCTTGTTTATCTACACAGATTTTCCTTGTACTAAGAAAGATGTTGTTGGTTCCCTCTATTCTCCTCACACATTTATGCTATGGTGAGACATGGACATATACTTCAGTGGCAGAATACATTATTTCGTTTAAGGTGTCAATCGATTCCTGATATCTTCAGGGAATG